TTCTTTGGTTTGCTAAAACCATACAGACAAGGGAAGGGCTAAAGCAAGAAGTATATCAATTGAAAAGAAAAACAGTTTGTGTTGAGCGCAAAAGGAGAGTCATTCTGGATTCCTTGGTGAACTCCTGAGGGATATTTGGCTGGTTTGTGCTTAATAAGGGTGCAATGAAGCCTGGTTCCAAGTTACGAAGGTTTTTGCAGCCCAAACTGCCCCCAGCAGAGCCGCTCGCACGGTTTGAGGTTAATCAGTAGGGCTGCACTGCTTGGAGAACCACCTACCGTTGATAAAGTGGGAGTTATTACGTTCACGGCATCTGAAAGCCGAAGAGACGGCCGGTTCCCAGTGGTACCGTGAGTAACGTGCAGCCCCGTGCTCCTCGGCCAGCAGGGTGCTGCCCTTTGGAAAAAACCTTGGCCAATTATTAACCTTTTGTCGCTGGTTTTACTCTTGAGTGAAAGATCCAGGTTCCAGGCTCGGTTCGGCGCTGAGTGAAGCGGTTCCCAAGTGACGGGTGGGACGGGGGGCCTGGCTCATCTCTCCAAACCGGAGTCACTTGCAGGGCACAGTCCTGTGGAGGACTGAACAGGCCTCAGCCAGCAGAAACGGTTAAAGCCATCAAGCTGTGTCTGATTGCAGGGGTTTTGATACCAAAAAAAGGAAGAAAAATCGCAGCTAGAGCCTCAGCTGGATTCCTGAGAAGGTTTGTGAGTATATTTGGGGTGAACTGGTAGCCTAAAACACCCGAGTTCACTTGGGTTCTGCCACACTCATCTGCTTTTGCTTTCTGCTCTTCCACTTGGTCAACCAGTTTCGCCAGGACTTTCTAATAGAAAATGAAATCAACCTGCTGATCTTGCCATTAGGGAGGCAAAAAAGGAGTGTTTTCTTTGCAAAAACTGGAGGGAAAGGGTCTTTACAGAGAGCAGACGAAGGAGAACAGTGCAAGAGATAAGAAACAGCCAGTGGGCCTGCTGGATTTTCAAAATACACTAGAGCAAGTGAGAGACCTGCAGGAAAGTTCTTAGAAAGCATCCTAGGATTTTAAATACCCTTTTAGTAGTGTTATTAAAATATTATTTGGTTTTTAAGAGCCTCTCTTAAAATTTCAGCACTGTTTCAGACCGTGCAGCAGTGCCGTGCACCCAGGGCGGGCATTAATCAGCGCCGCGGCACGAACCGCAGAGACTTATTGCTTAATTAGAACATGTGCAAACCTATTTGTCACCGCTGACAGTGGCACCGAGGCCGAGCTTAAAATGGTAAAAATGCCCCAGTTCAACCTTTCTGAACCGTGTGGTTCTGCGTTCTCTGCCCTGCTGCTTTTTTAAATATTTTGGCTTGTTTGGACTGGGATTTGCAAATTAGCCAGATCCAGACACAGGCTCGTAGCAAACAGAATTAATGTGGCTCTCTGCTTGCTGCCCCATTCCTCCCTCGGAGTGGTAGGTTGTGTTGCTCAAGGAACCAGAGGATTTGGGGCTGTTTGTGCCGTTTCCTCCCTTGTGCCTGCTGAATTAGCCACATTTGGGTATAGAGATGTGTGTGGTTGGAGGGACCAAAACCTTCTGTTTTGCCTCCTGCTCTGGAAGGGAATGGCCCTGGACACACTGCTTCTAGCAGAGGACTTCAGCGTGATGGAGAGCGTTAGCTAGATTGAGTCGACTTAATAAAATCTTGGTGCGTTCCAGGAAGATTGTGAATTCATTAAGGCCGCAGCCGGGCGGGCTGCTCCCTCCTGCCGGCGTGGCAGCCACCACGGAGCGTCGTCATTTACCTTTTTGGTTTAATTACAGCCAAGCCGTCCCCCCTGCCCTTCTCTGTCTTGTGCTGTTTTCTCCTGGCAGAGCCGGGCTCTGGGGAAATTAAACAGCAATTAGGCTGTTTGCTGCCCGCGTTGCTCCACGGAGATGCTCGAGGTGGGTTCATGTGTTTGCTTGGCTTCCAGAGGAGCAGCTCCCGGAGCTAATCCTTTGCTTACCTAAGGCAAGACTGAACCCAAACACGGAACGACGTGTTCTGTGTATTCTGCGTTTGAAAAGCGCTGATAAGAAGTGACAAACCGGGGCACTGGTTTGCTCAGGGTGTGGAGGAGCTCCCAGGGCCTGCCCTGATCCGTCTGGGGAGGATGGGGAGGAAGGCCCGGGATGGAAACGGGGGCAGAAGTCAGGGAAAGGAGCCCGGCGCCAAGGAGGTGGTATCCAGAGGAGTGCAGACGGCCTGTGTGGTGGGAGCAGAGGTGCTGCAAGGCCCTTGTCACCTCGCCTTGCACCAGGGCTTCCACAGGGTGTCTTGGTGTTGCTGTTGGGGAGGGGATCTGACCCACTGCCTTCATTAAAACCAGCAAATGAACAAAAAAAAAAACCCTTAGAGCTGAAAGGAGGTGCCACTTTTATGAGCAGCTAGACCATGGGGTGCATGAGGAGGTTGGACCGTGAGGGGCTGGAGGCACCTCGGGCCTTTCTGAAGTGATGGAGCTGGAGCAGGGTAGCTGCTTCAGGTCCCTGGGTCTGTGAAAGAGGCTGTTCTGGGGGAAAACAGCACCAAAACCTGAGCGATTCTTCCCATTTTGCTTTATGAGTTTGACAAGTTAGGACGATTAAATTACAGCTTAATGCAGAAGGCTGCAGTTGGGAGGGCGACCACAGACAGCGCAAAAAATCCTTCCGGCACGCAGGGTGCAGGGAGGTGAGGGCTCTCCCGGCGTGGAAGAGAATCCCAGCGAGTCCCAGCTCCGGAGCAGCCCATGCACGAGCAGCAGCCCCTCGGCTCGTCCGGCTGCCATCGCGCTGGTGCGGCGCCGCGTTTGCTTGCAAGCAGAACCAGCAGCTAATTTGCAAGGCTGCCTTTTGTAAGAGGGGCTTTGATCAATGCTTGCCTGTGTTAATGTTTCAGCAAGCTATTGATTTCCGCAGCGGCTTTTGTTCGCTGAATTTATGTGTGATGGGTTTCGGTGGCGCACGCCATGCATGTTTGATTAAAGTTCATTTGACTTCCCTCGCAGCGAGGCTGGAAGCTGTTTCGCTGCCCGGCAGTGGAACCAAAGCTCTCCCGACATATTCCTTTGTTTGTCCTCAAGCTTTTGCCACCCATGCAGTCCCCAATATGCTGTTTCTAATCCCTTCAGATTCACTCCACTCCAGCCTTTAATCCCTTAGGTAGACAATGTAGTATTTGATGGCCAGGCAGCTAATAAAATCTGGCGTGGATTTTTTTTTTTCAGTGTAGAACAGGTCAATCCTGTCCATATAGAACATTTTCTGTATGCGTTTCCTCTGTGACTTTAACCCCTGCGTGGGGACACTTGCCTTGTCATGCAGCAGTGGTGGTTGGTTTTGTATTGGGAGTGAAGACTCTTTTCTAATCCTTCTAATCTAGTATATAGTACAGTCTAGTCTATAGTCTAGTATCTAGTATAAACTTTATAGATAGGGCAAAATTTGTTATGGAATAGATGTCTGTTATGTCTTTATCTGCATGCAAAGTTATGACTATGGTTTTGGGGAGGGTCTCTGGGGAAGAAAAAGAAGTGTTACGATCATGAAGTTTGTATTTTTCATAAATATGCACTATTTCTTTTTTAAGCAGTTGGTTTTATGATGCAATGCCGTGCGTAAGTTAAACTTCCCTTGGGACCCGATGGGTTTGCGATGTGTAAATAGAGCTCAAATAGGTTCCCATTTACTGCTTCGTGGTGGGAGGAGAGGAGATTGGTTTCTCCTCTCCTGTTGTCACATGTCAGGGGGTGCACATTAATTCCCTGACATTCCGGCATGGGATTTACAGACTTGCTCATTGGTGTCGACTCCTAGGATTTGATAGAAATGAACCTGCAGGGAAAAAAAATGATTTGCAAGAGGCTTCCTGCCTGGGCCAGCCCTTCCTGGGCCTCGGAAAGTTCTCCCCATGGCTGGCACAGCTTGGATGCTGGTGGCCAGCTGGCACCTTAGTGCTAGAATCTCATCAGAAAAAAGGGATTTTTAAAAAATATATATAATTTTTTTTTTGATTCGGGATTTTATCCCGCCTGCCTCAAGCAGCAGTAGTGAGTGTCCCCCCAGGGTCCCCTGCCCTGGGGTGTGGGACCGAGGGGCCCTCGGTTGGCGCTGGCCGAGCGGGCTGAGGTAACCCCTGAGATCACAGAAAACCCTCTTCAAAGAGCCGCTTTCTGTGGGCAGTTCAGGTGTGTTTGTTCTGATGTTGATTTTCAAGGGGCTGGTTAGAACTCCTCCATTTTCTCCTGCAACTTGAAAGCATCAACACCTTTTACCTCAGAGGCAGAGAAGTCGCCAGGAAATGATGGAGTTTCAAAGTAAGGAGAAGAGATTAAAACCACATGCTGTTCTTTAGCCCAGCGCTGCATCCGCTGCCTTGAATGGCAGCTGCTCCAGTTTTTGAGCGTAAGCCACCTTCATTATGGAGGGAATTATCACTCATTTCTCTAGGTGTTCTCATTTAACTTGCTTAATTTAGATGTGGGCATATATGCTCCGATGAAAATACGGTTTGCTGTAGTATGCTTGCGTGTTGTGATTATAGTCTTATTGTTGAACGTGCTTTTATTCCGACTTCCAGCGTCTTAAAGGGGAATATTTTAAAGTATGCATATCCTGTTGCAGGATTTAGGTTGGCAGAATGACATTGTTCGCACTGATCTTTACTCTTTGTGTAAATGCAAGAGGGTTCTTAGCAGGTAGGGGTGTTCTGAGGGAAGGAGGGACCTCGGCAGGGGCCCCTCTTCCAAACTGTGAGACCGGGGGGAGATGAAGGCTTAAAAACGAAGAGCGGGAACATATTTATTTACTTCTATGCCTCCCTCCAAAAGCTAACAAAAATAGCAAGGTTTTTTTGCTGTCGTATCTGAGGATTTTTTTCTTTGTGTGAAATGCACCCTGAAGCCTCCTACATAAAGAGGTGTGTGCGCATCCACGGCAAAGGGGAGGGAAAAAAGCTGACACATCAGCCTTGCATGCCCCTCTAACATCTTCCTTCTGCATTCGCAGGGAGAACTAATCACCTTCTATTACTATTGGAAGAAAACCCCTGAAGCAGCAAGTTCTCGAGCCCACCGTAGGCATCGAAGACAGGCTGTGTTTCGGAGAATTAAAACCCGAACTGCTTCCACTCCAGTCAACACTCCCTCCAGGCCCCCCTCCAGTGAATTCTGTAAGTGGGAGCTAAAAGCAATGCATTTATCTTTGTTTAGATGCAGGGAGTAACAGTAATGTAGCGATGCTTTGCCTTCAAGTGAATAACACGAGCAAATGGGGTTCAGGCAGTTGCCCTCTCCTATTCCTGGAGCATTATGCTGGCATGCAGTAGGCGTCTGCCATCAGCAAGTGCTCTGTGCTGTTCTGAACACAAAAGCATCCTGTAAGGGTAGAAATATTGTCCTGGCACTGAATTTCTGCACTCTTTTGTGTGTGCGTGTGTATGTTGTATCTTCACTAGGCTTTTTACAGGAATAGGAATTAGGAAATGCAATAGAAGGAAGCCCTACCCGTGTCATCCTTGGTGACCCATTCCTTCTGCTCCGACTCTGGACTGCGCTTAGCAATTCTGTATCTTAAAGGGTTTTGGAAGTTCTTTAGCCTTGATGGAAGCAGAATGTTCTAAACAGGCTCTAGCCTGATAACAATTTTACATATACGGTTTAAACACCTGTAAGAATTAATGTAGAAATTGTGATGGTGTCAGCAGCTTCTGTTGCAATGCGAGAAGCTGTTAAATGGGACCCCGTGTTGATTAGAAAAGCAATGAGTCGATGACAAATGCTAACGGAAGCTGTAGTTGCTCCCTCTCTTTAACTAGCATGTATGGCAAAATAGCCTCTCCAGACCTTCAGAAAAGGAGCACCCTTGAATCAAGGGCAACTTTTCTAATTAAAGATGTGAGCAAAAGAGGACACGCATCAAAATGTTTTCCTAGCTAGGACGGGACTTTTTACTTGTGGCAAATTATAGACTTATTACTATGTGAGTTTATAGCAAGTGGCTGGAAAATGTAATTTTATTTTAAGATGATAGTTTGCTATGTGCTTCTTGACATAAGCATCCTCTCTCTCGAAAGAGTATTTTTAAGAGCACAGCCATTCTGGCTAGCGCAACCTGTATTTGAGCAACTACTTAATTGGAAAAGATTCACACACAGAATCAGAAGTTGCATGAATTTTGTCATTTTGTGTGTTACTGAAATAATCTTTTAATCAACAGACTGATCAGTCTGGCCTTGCTTAGCTTAAAAAATCTGAAACAGGGGCAGTCCAAGGCAAGATAAGTTTTGGGAAGTCACAGCACGTATGCGAGAACTGTCATTATTAATGGTTATTCAGCCAGGTAGGAGGAAATACAAAATCCTGCTAAATTGTTTTCCCTCTCCACTTCTCTCCTCATTTTTCACTTATTCAGTGGACTTGAGCTCAGCCAGTGAAGATGACTTTGACAGCGAGGACAGTGAGCAGGAGCTGAAGGGCTACGCCTGTCGTCACTGCTTCACAACCAGTATGCGCCTGATACATTGCTGTATCTCCCTTCCTTCTGCCACTGCCTATTTAACACAGGTTCATTCAAGCAAGAGCAGTTCTTGTGCATGTACAGCAGCAGTTCAGAAATGTAGGGTTGTTAGCCCACGTGTGCAATATTCCTGAAAGAATGAATCACGATTTACAATTGCAAATTAATATTGCAGTGACAAGGGAGACTCCTGCGAGGGAGACTTCTATACAGTAAAATCTGTCTAATAACATAATTCTATATATAATCCGTATAACAAGTCAATATTGAGCTATGACTATCACATACAAACCTATTTTTACAGTGCACCAAGGTTCTTCCTATAAGTGTTTGTGAAAGCTGTCTGGCATTTAGGAACATGCATTGAAGTGTGAGATCCTGTGCAAGTAAGGGAGAGACGAGAGCTCATCACTCAAAGTTAAGAAACCACAACTTGGGAAAATAATAGCTACCTGTTAATAACTATTAGTCCCTAGGTACTGCAAATGAGACTTTTTCTTATTTTTAAAGCAGTAGTTGCTTAAGTAAAGTAGTAGCCTGTAATCAAGCGTTTAATGTACATTTAAACTCAGGTACAAAAAAAAGGGCAGTTTTCCAGAGGCTTTCCCAAGTTACGTTTCTGTACAGAAGCAGACATTCTCTCACTGTATATGTGTTTTATTTTGAGTAATGCAGTGTATTTGTGCATATCTAGTAAGTTGTGACTGTCTAAGCTTTCCCTTTGCCTGCCCCAAGCCTCCAAGGACTGGCACCACGGCGGTCGAGAAAACATCCTGCTCTGCACCGACTGCCGCATCCACTTCAAGAAATACGGAGAGCTCCCACCCATCGAGAAGCCTGTGGACCCTCCACCCTTTATGTTTAAGCCTGTCAAAGAGGAAGATGATGGACTCGGTGGAAAGCATAGCATGAGGACAAGGCGGAGTCGAGGCTCGGTAGGTTAAACTCTCTTCATTCCTTTGCTTTTCAGCCTCCTCTGGAAAGAGGAGGCACTATCTGGAAAGTGCAGGTTGGGCTTTCAAAATGATTCTTGCTCTGTCTGCCTTGGTGTGAGCCTGCA